GTATGATAAAGCTAAATTGCGCCTCTTTCTCACGTTCGAAGGCTGTTCAGAAGATTCCGTCAGTGGTGAAAAGAGGACAAAATCGCGATTTTAGGACATTGTAAAGTGTGCAATTACTTAAAGTGACGGTTGGAACTGACACCAATAAAAAAATCTCTTGTTTTTCACGAAAGAACGTCAGCTTTCTAGGAATTTATATTATTTTCGGTGTTCCAGATCTAACATCAACAATGATATATGTATTTCTTGAAATTTAGAGACACCCCACTTTTATTAGTCAGGAGCACCTTAGTTGTTAAAATTCTCATGTCATAATTGTTTATTTCTTTGCTGGTTCTCCAACCACAGGTAGTATTAGTGAATAAGTAAACAAGTAAACAAATGATGGTAAGTTTAGGAGATATTCAAAGACCAACCTTCTTCTTTTTCTTCTTCCTTGTTGAGCTCTCTTTTTGTTTCACATGTCTTTCACTTTCATCATCCTCTGTTTCTTCGCTCTTCCTGAAAACACAAAAACTTCTATAAGTTAAGGAACTACCCAACAAACAATCAAGAACTCATCTATCATAAAAATATCATAAAATGAAGATTAACTTCAGAAAATCTACTATAACTTACAGCTGCTCTCTTTGAATGATCGCTGCCCCTTTAGGCGAGCGTTCCCTCTCCTTCAAGCTCTTTACAGCTCTTTTTTCTTTTCTGAGCTTCTGCTCCGTCTTCGCTCGTTTCTGTTCGGCTTCCTTCAATCTCTCTTCCAGCAGTGATATTTGCCTCTTGAGCTCTATCTGTTCCTTCATGCTTTCATCAAACTCCATGGAGAGGGACCTGGAATTACGTCATTAATTCTCCAATTTCGATTTTTGAAGACGTAACTTACTGTTTTACCAGCCGCTCGTTGGCCTCTTTGAGGACCTCATTTTCAGCTTCAACCACCGATAGCTGCTTGCTAATTAACTCAATTTTTCCTAAGTAATGAGCATCATCGGCATGTTCTCGAATACTTCGCAGTTCGCTTTCAAGCTCGCGCATCGAAGAAGTTTTTGTTTCCAGCTGGGATCGGAGATCGTGAAGTAACTAAAAATCGGCCCTTTTTTTGAAAATTAGGCAGAATAGCTTTTCTGCTTACCCCGTTGAGTCTTTCAATTTCATACTGCAGCTCAGCCACTTGGCTATTTTTCTCTCTTACAAGCCTATTTAACCGAATGTAGCTGGCTTTATCTTTTAGAGCAGCCTCGCTTATTCGAGCCGTTGCCGGTCTGAAAGTTTGTTGAAATTTTTCCAATACGGCAAATTCTAAGAGAAAGAGGACCACCTTTTCGGGTCAGCATTTTCGGCATTCGGATCTGTTCTTTCGGTTTTCTCAGCAGCAGTGGAAGCTGTAGGAGGTGGACGTC